TAAACGCCATCTGCCACTCCTCAGCCCATTGACCCAATTGATCAAGATCTCTTTGCAATCTTAGCCTACTTCACTGTCCACCAATTTTGGTACCATCGACATACTTACTAACCACGCCTCTTATATTCTAATCCAAATCATTTATATAAATGACAAACAAAAATGCACCCAGCACAGGGCCCTGTTGCACACCGCTGGCCACAGGCCCCCAGTCTGAGAAACAACCCTCCACCACCACCCTCTGTCTCCCACTGTAAAAGCAATTTTGTATCAAGTTGGCAAGTTCATCCTGAATCCCATGTGATCTAACTTTACTAATTAGTCTACGATGCAGAACCTTGTCAAAGAAGTCCAAATAAAGATCTGTTCTGCAGAACATAACATTGAAGCATAACATCCTTTGTTTTATATTCAACTGCCCTCCTGTAATAAAGGATAGCATTCCATTAGCCTTTTTTGATTGCTTTCTACTGGTTCTGAATGGAATGGAATGTGTTTCTGGGATGGGCTTTGACAGTTTTTAAACAAATGCCAGGCAGCGCTTATCAGAACGTGTTTTTGAAGATGTCCACATTGATTTTTGTGTTCAATTCTTTTTGTAACAACCCTGGCTGTGGGGGTATTTTAAGAAATAAAAATTCTGGCTGGTTTTACCAGAGCATTGATGAGGGGAAGAGAGGAACAATGACGTGTTGGGGACAGAGTGGAATCTTGTACCCCAGGCAGCACAACTTTTTTTTTCCCAGAATACAGGGCATTGTATAGCTTTGTGTAAAGGCTCATGAAACTATTGCAATTTGTCAAGCACAGCTTCACCAGGGCAATAACAGGAAGGGGAAATAGTTATGATAAGAGACCAGAAATTGATTCAGGAAAGGCTGTTCCAGTTGGGGAGTGAGTGAGAAGGAGTTTATTTCACAAAGAGCATTTAAATAGAGCTGTGTTAAAGAAAGGGGTGTTGAAGCATGGAATTTGCTGCATGGGGTGGCTAGGTTTGAGACCATGGGCAGAATCTTACAGGTGAGAGAATGACGTGGATTCTGGTGACATCTTGTATTTATCAAAATCAAACTATTGGTGAAACAAACTAGGGCATGATTTGGTACAATTAAAAATAAGGCCTTGGGTAGTGTCATAGAACAGAGAGACCTAGGGGTTCAAGGACATAATTCTTTTGAATTTTGCCTCACAGGTAGACAGGGTGGCTAAGAAAACGTTCAGCAAGCTTGCCTTCATTGCTCAGACCTTCGACTATAGACGTGGAGTACCATTAGGTTCTGGTCGCCCTGTTATAAGAAAGATGTTATGGTGGAGAGGGTTCAGAAAAGATTTACCAGGAAATTGCCAGGAATGGAAGGTTTGGGTTCTAGGGAGAGGCTGGATAGGCTGGGATCTTTTCATTGGATTGTAGTAGGTTGAGGGGTGACATTGTAGGGGTTTTTCAAATCGTGAGGGATATAGATAAGATTAATGGCAGGTGTCTTTTCCCTAGGGTAGGGACATTTCAAGACTGGGGGACATATTTTTAAGGTAAGAGGAGAAAGATTTAAAAAGAACATGAGAGGCAACTTTGTTACACAGAAATTGGTTTGTGCGTGGAATGTGCTTCCAGAGGGAGTGGTGGATGCAGGTACAGTTACAACATTTAAAAGGCATTTGGTTAAGTGCAGGAATAAGAAGTATTTGGAGGGATGTAGGCCAGGCACAGGCAGGTGGGATGAGTTTAGTTTGGGATTATGGTCAGCACGGACTGGTTGGATCAAAGGGTCTGTTTCCATGCTGTATGACTCTCTCTGTAGGAGAATCAGGTGAGGCTAACCTTGAGATCACCTTGCTCCATCTTTTATGCTTTCCACAAGCAGCGAGGTGAGATTCTCAGTAGGCAGGGGTGTGATGCCAATTCGTGGGATTAATGCTTGTTAAAGCCTTGTTAATAATACAACTCGCATTATTAACATTCAGCTTCCTAAACTCCCCAAACAAGCTAGAAGTTAGGAAAACTTAATAAGGAGACTGAAGTGGCTACCTGAAAGATTCAGCTTCAAAGGGCCTCCATGTTGCCTGTGACCAAACAGCACCCGAGGGTACGATCAAAGGGCACCAGTCACATGCACCTGTCATCCATGGCATGTGCCAACCCACCTTGACCATCTGGGCACCCCTATGCCCTGACATTGTGTTTTGGAAGCACTGCAGGGTGCATCAACAGCTAGCATTGCAAGGCTGCAGCAAGGCACACAGTGACAGGCAGAGACTGGACTAAACTGCACCTCCAAGATAGTTGTTAACTTCCTTCATGCCTGCTTACTTAGCATCTATCCACATGCTCAAAGCATCCCTATTTTGTATAGCCAACATGATTAGCACAGTCCCAGTAACAGGCGGTTTGCTTTGTCACCAAGCAGTTTGCAATCTATGAGGCACATATCCTGCTGTACAACATTGTGCCTATCACACCCCCACAACATGTACCAGAAGCTGATAAAGCAAACACACTGCAAATTCAACAAGCAGGCAGCCATGTCACACAGGCTTCAGGGAGTCGTCTTCACGGAAGCCAGTGGAGTCGGTCAGAGGGTCCCGTCCCACAATAAATCGAAGGGCAGCCTCTGTAACCAGCCCAGAGGATTAGCTACAGTCTGGCATCTGGTCTGGCTTTCATTCATCTGGGGGTGGACCACAGTCGGTCTGTTGGCTGTGTGGCAGAAAGTGTGGGTGGGAGTTTGGGCTGAAGGGGCCTGGAGGCTGTATAGGTACTAGCTAGGGATCTGGACAGCAAACAGCACTGCCAGTACGACTTCCTAGTCCTCGTTACTCTCATCCTCAGAGGTCCAGGAGAGCACTTTTGGGAGAGCTGGATGTCTCTCTGCCGACATCATTGGGAGGCTATTAGAACCTGCAAGATCCAAGAGAGAAAATACATTGTGGGCAGTGGTTTGGAGTAACAGAGTGACAGTAAGATGAATGGGAGAATGGCAGTGACGTGAACAGTGCAGCTTCGCTCATTTGGCAGGACGTGGAAGTTCTAGCATTCCATGGCAGCGGTCCCCAGTCCTTTCCTGCGTGAGCCAGGATTCTCTCCTCATAGTGAGGAGACGGATATCGGGCACCACCATCCTGTATGGAGTCTCCTGACGTGCTGTGTTCATTCAGCTCTGCATCTTGTTATCTCAGATTCTCCAGAATCGGCAGTTCCTACTATCTTGGAGTCTGCCCATTTATGAGCTGGCTTTTCTTGTAATGTGGGGAGGGGAGCCAATGCTTGAGATGACAGCGGGTGGTGTGGCTGTAAATCGTGCTGCTTGTGGGGGAAGTGTGGTGAGCTGTATGGAGAGACTAAGGAAGCAGCACAGAGGCCGTGCATGATTAGTGGAGTCAGAGGTTAGTGGGGGAAGTTGGGGGGGTGGAGGGGGGATGCTGATATGGAGGTGAGTGAGGGGAAGCTGTTACAGCGATCATGAAAGTAGCAGAGCATGAGCCTGGTGGGTACAGTAGCAGAGACAAAGTGAGTGTGAGGCGGCAGCAAGAAGAGTGTGACAGTTATCCTGGCAGAGTGGAGAAGGTCATTGACATTCTGTTACTGCCGGCTGGGTCTCCACACGGCACTGACCTGATTGACGTCAGACCAGACTGGCAGGGTCAGGTGGCACAGCCTCCTCTGGATTTTCCAGGAAGAGGGTGCCTCCTGTCTGGCCCATCCGTTCCCCTCCTGTCTTCCCCTTCTCCATCACGTTCAGACTCTGTCCTTGGCTGATCAGGGCAGCTCCAGAATGCTAGTGATTGTCTGACAGGCTATTATAAAACGGCGCTGCTGCAAGGAATACTGGCATCTTCTGAGGACATCTGCTGAGTGCCAAGTTGTTGTGCGAATGGCGTGTGCCGAGACGGGGCTAAATTTGATCTGAGAGATGCCGTGGGGAGGGCTAAATAATTAATGAGGCAAATTTGGTAAGGTAGGTCAAGAAGTCTCGCTAGGTCTCGCAGTGGACAATCTTCCAAAAAAAAACCCCAAAGCAACTCTGACCCAGCCAAAAAAAAACATAATATTCAGCCTCGTTAGATCTTTTAAAGAGAAATTGATCAAATGTTTGAAGAAAAGGACAGAAAAACTTGCAAGGAATTGGAGACAGTTGGTAGGCCACAAGGAATCAAATGAAATGGTGGTGAACTGATAGTATTTGTCACCACCGTTTAGTGTGAGTTACTGGGCTGGGAATGGTTGTGATAGTTTACTGGCACCAGTCCTCCTTTGCCTGTACGACAAAGTTATTAATGTTAGAGGATAAACCACTGGTAAGTTTGAAAAGAAGAGGCAGTTATCTTAGTTAATGAGAGAGTTCATAGAAAGAAGTAGAGTTTAGGTGACAAGTCAGCTATAATTATGAAGGATTCTTGAGAGCTGTGTAGAATGTACCCGCTCCCTCCAAAAGCAAGGGTCAGTGAATGAGAATGGAGTGCCACCATTCAAAGACTGTGTGGCATCATCAGATTGGGTGGAGTTAATGCAACGTTTTAGTCCTAACTCTTACCTTGCAGAAACGTAGAAAATAGGAGCAGGAGTAGGTCATTTGGCCCTTCAAGCCTGCTCCACCATTCAATGTGATCATCCAACTCTGTCTCCTGTTCCTGCTTTAACACAATATCCTTTGATCCCTTTAGCACTAAGAACTATATCTAACTCATTCTTTGAAAAATTTCCAATGTTTTGGTCTTGACTGCTTCTTTTGGTAGTGAATTCCACAGATTCGCCACTCTCTGGGTGAAGAAATTTCTCCTCATCTCAGTCCTAAATGGCTTGCTTCACAGTTTATACACTATAACGTCAGCTTTCCTGCTCCTCTGCTGCTTGGCCTGCTGTGTTCATCCAGCTCTACACCTTGTTATCTCTTATACACTGTAATGCCTGTTTTACGTCATCTTTGGTCTTTATATTTTGAATGGTTGATTGTAAGGTATCAGTCTTTGATAAATAAAAACTAAAAATCCCTTTGACCTTTCAGGGGCCAATCTGTCATGAAGGCGATGTGAAAAGATGGCTTTGCGAATCCTCTGAGCACCTTGCAGAGTGAGAAAGATGAACTGGAAACCAGGTAAGGGGAATGTCCTGTGAGCTGAGGGTGTGATCACAGGCTTCTGATCCTTTTTTGAGCATAGTCTGTGGGTTCCCACCGTCCGCAGCCTGCAGCCATTTTGCCATCTCTGCAAATGTAGTGAGTTGCAGAGAGTGCGCTGGGTCCTGAATACACAGCGAGAGGGAAGCCTGAACTTGCAGCAGTCCCACTGTTACTGAGTTACTGAACTCGGTGAGGCCAGGATCTGCTCCAGAGAAAGTAAGGAGAGGATTGCAACAGAGCTAGTGTTAGCCAACACCTAGCTTCTCCCTCAGAGATAGTAAGAACTGCCGATGCTGGAGTCAGACACAGTGTGGATAACACAGGCCAGGCAGCATCAGACGAACAGGAAAGTTGACGTTTCGGGTCGGGACCCTCTGATGCTGCCTGGCCTGCTGTCTTCCTCCAGCTCCATGCTGTGTTGTACCTAGCTTCTCCCTATCTGTCTCTTTCCCTTTCTCTTCCCTCGTCCTCTTTCAATGTCCCTCTTTCTTCTGTCTCTGTCTCCCACCCTATCCTCTCTGTCTCCTCCTCTGTTCTGTACATCTCTGGCTCCCTCTCCCTCTATTTTTCTTTTCTCTCTGTCTTGTCTCCCCCTCTCTTCCCTCTATCTTTCAGGAAATAGTTCCTCAACTGCAGCTTCATTTGTTTGTGACTGCTGTAATTTGATCAAAGCAATGACCTTTACCTTTAGCCTTGTCATGCCCCCAACCACCACCTCCACCACCATCACCAAAGCAAGAAAGGAAGTTCGAGAGATCTCTTTGTTCCAGGGCAATTCTGACCACAACCACCATCTTCCAGACCTGTCGATATCTGGGACAGCTATGTGGTCATGTCAGATTAGCCCCTGCTGCACCTTAGGCTTTGCAGGGAGCAAGCTACAGAGTTGTACCATCTGCTGCTAACTGGTCAATAGTTGGCACTGCCAGTGGCATATGTGACTGCCTCTTACCTCAACGTTTACATCCCTGGCTTCTTGGAGGGTACAGTTGAGAGGAATCACAAATTAAATCAATTTGCAACATATTATTCCAGCAGACAAATAATAGTTCTGCCTTCGGCAGAGAGTAACAGTGAATGGGTAGTGCCAGCTCAATTGCCTGCTGAATTCCGAGGATCCTGCTATGCCATTTATAATGGGACCCTTGTATCCACAGGAAAGGCTTTCACTCTTATCAACATGAGGGACGATGGGATTTTTAACACCTGAATTTTGTAGGCAAAGTGAAGGTGAAAATAATTTTCGAAAATGGATATGCAGTTTTTTTTAAAAATAGTATTGGGTTCAGTGCTGCAGGGCATCCTTTGTAAGCAATGCCCATATGTCCCACAATCCAGAATACACACTGCACTTGATCTATCCCTTTATGGAGGGTGCAATGAGGTGTGTTCTAACAGGATGTTTTGCATCCATGATTCAACCTAGTGGTTTATTTGACATTCAGAATACAAAACAGTATCAAACAGTTTTCATGTAACTATTTGCCAGATTTCCAACTGATTTGATTCTCTAGACAGTAACAACCTTTTGTTTTCAGTTTGCTAAACCCAATCTTAATTGCTCATCACTTTTATGTTTTGGCACATTGTGTCTGTCTTTCTTTGCCTCCTTGTGTCTGTCTTTCTTTCTTTCTTCCCTCCTCCATTTGTGGACAAATGTGTGTTTTCAGAATTAATTAGTGCACATGGGTATTTGGCAACATGTACTGCAGACAGGAGAAACAAGGCTGATTATGCCTCAGGGAGGCAATAGGCTAGTGGGTATGATTGCTAGACTATTAATGCAGAGAGTCGGATAATGATCTGGGAACCTGGATTTTAATTCTGCCATGTCAGAGGGTGGAATTTGAATTCAATAAAAAAAGCCTGGAGTTAAGAGTTTAATGATGACGAGCACCGTTGAAAGGAGAAACCCCGTCTGGTGCCTATTGATGAAAGTAACTCCAGTTCTTGCTTGGTCTGGCCAGGTGACTCCTGACACACAGCAATGTGAATGACTGACTCATAAATGGCTCTGGGCATTTAAAGATTGGCATTAAATACTGACCCAGCCACTGATGTCCATATCCCATTAATGAATAAAAGAAATCAGGAGTTGGGCCTGATTTAGGGTCCAACTCTGTAGATGAGCGTAAGGCCCCCTAAATCTCTCACTTATCCTTTTTAACCCTATTCCCCCAACACTGCCCCGACCCCTCAACCCCACTTTCTCTATGCAGCCAACCCCTCTACCCTCCTCTTTCCATGGCCAGCATGTACTATGCATTAGAATTCCTAAATCCTAAAATAACATTGAGATGCTCAGCTGTCAGGATAAACAAACAGTCATTCAAAAACCATGTCTAGAAACATAGGATAGAATCTTAAAGGGATCTGAGTGACGTGGACTGTGAAGAGACGTGTGGCAGAATTGAATGAACAATCTGGTGAGGCCCATCTTGATATTAGAAGCTTCTCACTCCATCTTATACGCCTATCACAAGCGGTGAGACAAGATTCTCACTAGGCACTGGCAAGTTGCCAGTCAGCAGTGTTTTTAACTTGTCAAAAACCTGACAGACAGCCCAATAATATTCAACTTCCTATTTTCCCAAACTCGCCAAACAAACTTGAGATTGAGAAAACTCTGGATGGAAATACGAGCATGTACCTGACAAATTTAGCTCTGCTTACTCTGAAGGACCTCCATGTTGGCCACTGGGTACTGACTTCTTCGGATACATTCCACTGGCACCAGCCACATATGCCCCACATTCACAGACAATGGTATCCAACACCCATCAACCTCTAAGTGTCCCTTTTACACATCTCCAGTCTATGCGCAGGACAATTCTGCAATTCAATTCAGCACCTTAGGCTGTACTGGCAACTATCATTGTAATGCTGCTGGAGGACACTGTTTCTGGGTCACACACCCAGCTCTGGAGAGTACAGGCTGCATCTCTGGGCTCTTTGTGACTTGGGTCACACTCACTGTGATCCCAGCTGATGCACACAGCGTTCCTGCCCAGCATTGCCTTGCCTTCCCTATCTGCCTCTGCCACCTGATCCAGTGATATGAGGCTTCATTTTTGCCTGACTGTTTGTAACAGACACATAGAATGGAAACTTGTTATTGTGTCAGCAGGCCTCGTTCAGGTCAAGAAGATAACCTCTGGCCGACACTGTTAGTCAGGGCAGCATCCAGTACCAGTCCAGGGTTACCTGGAAACAGCCAATCGGGGTGCTCAGATTCAGGATGCTGTACACATTAGGAATGTGGACCTGAATGTCACAAAGCCTGCCACCCATTTTGAGGCCATTTGCCCTGCTAGGGGCTGTTTCCCTTCTGAAATGTGAGAGGGGCAGGAGTTGAGGGAGATGAAAGTTGGCGGAACAGCTAGTGGCGGAAAAGTTAGTGCTGGTCCAGTTGAGAAAGTGTCCCGGATGAGTAGGTAGCAATGAGGGCATGTAGCGTTAGTGGTTATTGAGGGTTGGGGTACGTGATGATGAGTGAGGTGAGGTGTTGTAGGCGTTAGTGAGAGTGATAGAAATGAGCCTTAATGGAAGATGGGCCCAGGAGCAGGGAGAGAGTGAGTGTGAGGTATCAGTGAGGAGATGCTGGTGTATTGGAGAAAGTCACTGGCAAGGACATTTCTCCAAATGCCCAAGCCTGCTCTATTCTGGGTGCCAGCCCTCAAACCAGGCCTCCATGGGCCGTGACCTCTACTGCTGGTTCTGTAGGTGGAGAGGGATGTCCCATCTCTGCACCAACCCATCCACCAGGACCTCCAGTTCCCTCCCCCCAAAAAACCCAGGGTGCCAATTTCCCTCTTTCTGCTGTGCCTGAGTCAGACATTAAGGCTGTTACCTCCCAACAATTCACTGAGTGGTGAGTGATCTGGGAACAATATGTGGTAAAATTAGGACAGAGTTAGACATGCCAGTTGCTATGGGGGCAGGTTAAATAGTTAATGTGGTGAGTCTGATAAGATATAGCTGTAAAACTTGCTAGGCCTAGGAACAGAGATTCCTCCAAAAAAAAACTCGACACAACACAGACTTAGCCAAAAATATACAAGAGGCAACCCACAATATAAAACGGTTAAGGTAAGGAAACAGTCTTCCTGTTGTGTTGACAGTGACTGCTGAACTAAATTCATTAATGGGCATGGAATCAAGCCACCATTCGTACATTGCACATCTTTTTAAACAAAGCCTTAAGAGCTGAATGTGTTAAAACTACTGACAACAGTAAAAAACCGCAACCAGCTGTTCAAGTTTAGAAGCAGGAAACAGATGCCTGAGCTATCAATCAATTAAATGATTCCATCACAGCCAAATCTGAATACCTAATTGTGATTTAATGTAAAAGGCTACTTTAGGGTCCTTGTGGCACAATGGTAATGTCCCCATTTTTGAGACAGGAGGCCTGAGTTCAAGTCCCACTTGCTCCAGAGGCATGTCATAACATCCCTGACAGGTTGATTTGAAGATATCTGTAGAAGACCAATTTATCCATTGTATAGTGGACTGCAATGCATCATGAGACTTTTCCACTTTCACAATGCTGGTTAATTTAATTGTCACTTTCGTTTTAAGAATAAAGCCCTATAATTGATCATTAAATGATTAAATATTTAATTTACCAGATACCATTAAATTATGGCATGTGAAGTTGTCAATAGCTTTTATCCTTAACTGCTGAAAGGTTCCCAACTCCAAAGTGAGGTTCCTCGATGATTCATGACATGTCCTGCATTAATAAAAAGAGGCAACAATGGGATTAGATGAGAGGACATCTACATGCAGGATTTGCTGGCCCCAGTTTCCACCAACCCAGTACGGGACAAACCTGTGTTGGGGTGGGAAAATACTGCCCACCATGATGATGGCCCCTGTTTAATTTCAATGTGTACAAGTAATTTACATCAGAACATTGAAATATAGGAACAGATGTAGGCCATTCAGCCCCTCAAACCTGCCCCACCATTCAA